AGGGCGCCCGGGGCCGCCCAGGGGCCCGGCTGTCAGCAAGCGCCTTGCCCCCGGTCCCGGGCTTAAATTTATTGCCAGTCGTGCCCAGAGGTGCTGCAGGATCAGGGCCCCAAGGTGGTCTTGTGAGATGGAGACCACCCTAGACAGGGGCAGCTCTGGCCCCCCCTTTAATCAGTTAACTTGTTAACCATCATGTGGTTAATGGGATTTTACATCCCTGTGGAAGACCGGCCATGCTGGGTCAGACCAACGGTCCATCCAGCCCCGTGTCCTGTCTGCCGACAGCGGCCAGTACCAGGTGCACCCAAAGAGGATGAACAGAACAGGGGACCATCCAGTGATCCCTCCCCTTTCACCCATTCCCAGCCTCTAACAAAGAGGCTGGGTCATGGACAATGTTCCCTCTAATCTTTTTCACCCATGTGCAGATTTTTCCCATCCGTGTGCGGAATAGGTTTTTTTTAATGTGCAGCCAGGCATGTGAGAATGTGCACCACCAGAGAAACAAAACCTGGCTGTGGGAGCTCTGCTGAGCATTTGAATCTCTCCTGAGTGTCCACACAGCTGACAGGGACCAAGTCCGATAACAAATACTGATTCCCTTTTCTCCCACCTAAAACTCAAACCAAATCTCACTTTGATAAATGGGGTTGTAAAGGAGTGCCAGCGCCTTGGAGAAAAGAGAACACTGTAGTTTTACGAACCCCCAAAGGTAGAATGTAATGTTAAGGCCACACTGTAATGTTCAAACCTTTGGGATTGTTTTCAGCTGATTTAAAATCTGTGCCTTGTTTGCTTCTTGGGCACTTCAAGCACTGGTTTAGGTGAGGGTAAAACTGATTTGTGTGTTTTTGTTGGCCAGTCTGATTGAAATTTTCCATCTTTCCCTCTGCACTCAAAGGTAAAGATCTAAACCTGCTTTCCTTGCTTGATTACACAGTTCTTGCTGAAGCCGGGGTGTGTGTGTGTGTGTGCGTGCGTGCGTGCGTTCGTTCTCACTAACCTGCCTGGCGTGTTGTTAATCTGAAGTATTCAGAGGCAGATGAAGATGTTACAACATGACTTTTGTCCTAATGGTGCCCCTTTAATTCGTCTTCCGGGCAGCCCTGTGAGAAGGCTTGGTCCCTGTTCCGTGGGTCTCGGACGTTAGCATTTTAAGCCCTGCTTGTACTGCTTCCTGTCCTAGAATCTGAAGAAGAGCTGGCACCCCCAGACTCTGCGCAATGTGGAGAAGGTGTGGAAGGCAGAGCAGAAACATGAAGCTGAGCGGAAGAAGATTGAGGAGCTGCAGCGGGAGCTGCGGGAGGAGCGAGCCCGGGAGGAGATGCAGCGCTATGCGGAGGATGTGGGAGCAGTCAAGTAAGTGTGAGGCAGAGTTTTATGCTAGACTCTGTGTGTGTGGTTTCGTCCCTTGGAAATCCAGTGTGCATCATTTGTATTCTAAGGACTTTGTCACCAGGAGGAATTTCTGAACAGGGACATTCTAGTAACACTTTTTTTTTTTTAAAGACTTGAGTCGCAGCTACCAAATAACTAACTTTCCTGGCTGTCACGGTATAAACGGTGGGCGCCGTGAAAAAGGAAAGATGCTTGTTATAATGGACCAATAGTTACTCTTTCTGGTACTTATTTGGCTAGAGCTGTCCATGTTTCCTAGCGCTATGAAATGTAGTGTCATAACAGGAGAAATTTCCTAACGATGCTGTCAAGTACACTGTGGAATTGTCTCTAGGCTTTGTCAGAGAAAGGGACACGGTCCTTTGCTCTAATTTCTAAGGCCCTGATCCCGTAAAAATGTATGTTGGCATTTAATTTTCCCTCCTGTTGAGCTTATTGACTGATTGGCTAAGCGGCAGTTCTCCAGAAAAGGACCTGGGGATTACATTAGTCAAGAAGCTGGATATGAATCAACAGTGTGCCCTTATAGCCAAGAAGGCTAACGGCACATTGGATTGCATTAGTAATGTTGCCGGCAGATCAAGGGAAGTGATTATTCCCCTGTATTTGCACTGCTGAAGCCTTCTCTGCAGTATTGCATCCAATTCTGGGCCTCCCATTACAGAAAGAATGTGGACAAATTGGAGAGAGTCCAGTGGAGGTCAATGAAAATAATTAGGGGGCTGAGGAACATGACTTACGAGAAGCTGAGGGAACTGGGCTTGTTTAGCGTGCAGAGGAGAAGAACGAGGGGGGATTTGATAGCAGCTTTCAACTACTTGATGGAGGGTTCCAAAGAAGATGAAGAGAGGCTGTTCTCAGTGGTGACAAACAGCAGAATATGGAACAAAAATCTCAGATTGCAGAAGGGGAGGTCTAGGTTGGATAATAGGAAAAACTATTTCAGTAGGAGGGTGGTGAAGCACTAGAGATGCAGGGGAATCTCCATCCTAAGAAGTTTTTAAGGCCAGACTTGAAAAGCCCTAGCTGGGAGGATGGCTAGATGACCTCCTGAGGTCTCTACCAACCCTAATCTTCTATGATCAGTAGGATTACTTGCCACATGTAAAGTTCAACACCTGTGTAAGTTTTTTTTGGTTTTGCAGGAATAGTACCAAGGACAGACATTCAATAGTGACTTATGCTAAAGCATTTCTGCTCATCTTTACAGAGAAAAGTGAAACTCCAGAGCTGATTGGAGGGCAAACACAGTAACATGGATTTTTTTGCTGTTGCTTGAAACAGGAAAAAAGAAGAGAAGCTGGATTGGATGTACCAAGGTCCCGGGGGCATGGTGAACAGAGAGGAGTATCTGATGGGCCGCCCTGTGGACAAATATGTCTTTGAGAAGATGGAAGACAAAGAAGCAGGTTGTTCCACTGAGACAGGACTTCTTCCCGGCTCCATTTTTGCCCCCACAGGTGCCAATTCTGTCCTAGACATGGCAAGCAAAATCCGGGAGGATCCACTCTTCATGATAAGGTACAAAAGGGATGATTCACCCTAGGCAGGGAGTGAGTTGTGATTGCTGCTGCCAATTAACCAAGCACTGCACAGAGTTCATCTGTATTAAGACTCGTATTTTGTTTGTCACCTCGTATGTCCTCTGTCCACCTGTTTCCTTTATCTACCTGTCATCTTTCAGACTGGAAGTTACTTGATGCAGACTCATACACTATATCTTTGAAGGACAGTAGAGACCTGGTTAAGACCTCTAGGCACTTCTGCAATATTAATGTTTGATCTAATTAGCCTGCAACTGTTCAGACTCTGTAGCCAGGTCTGCACTAGACCCGGAGGTCTGCTTAAGGTATGCAACTCCAGCTACGTAAATAATGTAGCTGGATTTGGCATAGCTTAAGCCAAGCTTGGTGCCATCTTCACAGTAGGAGGTTGACGGGAGAAAATACTTCCGTTTGCTTCCCTAACACCTCGTGATTAAAGGGATGAAACAGAGGCGCCCTCAGCGTTCAATGTAGTGGGTCTTATCTAGACCTGCTAAATTGAATGCAAGATGGATCTCCAGCTCATCCATATACGTGGCCTCAGATGTTGCATACCGTGATTTGGAGTAATTTTTTTTCTTGTATTTCATTAAGCAGGAGGATTTCAGCAAGATACAATCTGACTTAAGGTTTTCCCCAAACCTGAAAATTGCCTAGAGAGCTTTTTGTTTCCTGTTTCCTAAATGTTACACTGTTGATCTAGTTCTGATACACACACCTGAGATGGGCTGCATATATGTTCCATTTCCAAGTGTCTCTTAGAGTTAGTTTTGTTTATTTCAGACTTGTGAATACTAAGCCAATGTTTGTTTTCCAGGATACAAGGCAGATCCTGTAGACATTTAGACATCAAAGTTACTCACCTGCTTGTGAGACCACCTGCATCCTGACAGTTGCTTGTGGACTTAGGTGTTTGCAGGATCGGGGCTCAAAATGCATCTAGCTCCCCAGACTCTAGCTTGATGTTTGTGGGATTTTAAGCAGATGATGCCCTTCAATAAGAGGGTGTAAACATTAAATGCCTCAATAGGGGGGGAAAAAGGCTGCATTTTCAACAAGGCTGTGATTTTACATCTAGCTTTGGTGTAAATGATTGTGTCAGAGTTGCATAGGTTTAAATCCTGCAGCTGGAGTTTAAAAGAGACTGGCTAATGCTATGACCAATAATCATAGCTATGCTTGCAAAGGAGTGCTGTATCTTACGCTGCAGGTTGTAAACTGACCACTCTGTGACTCTAGAAGGAATTTTTCTTCCCGGGGGCTGGGCTTTGCAACTGTGTGGTTGCATTACATCTCTGTCACTCTTGACTGAGGTATCAGACATTCACTTGTGACTCGGCCAGGATGGACAGCAACAGAACTCGATGGAACCATGGAGCCAATCTGCAAGTGGATATAAAACAGTTTCTTGATTAACCTTGCTAGCCAGCATTTCAAGTTGAAAAACACAAAGCATCTGTATGATCACACTTACAAAGTCTGCTTTAAGCCCCAGTCTAGCCAATACAAACATGCTTAACTTTACTGCCTTGAATAGCCCCGTTAATTTCAATGAGAAAATCTCATGGTGCTAACGTTAAGTGTGGGCATAAGTGTGTGCAAAATCTGGTCTTGGTTTGCGCTTTGAATAGTTCTTGGATATTATTGGATATTATTAATGTTGTTTGAAATCTCCAATGTGGTTTATTTTCCGTAGGAAAAGAGAGGAAGAGAAAAAAAGAGAAGTTTTGAATAATCCCGTAAAAATGAAGAAAATCAAAGAACTGGTATGTATTCTTTCACAGAAATCTGAAGCAGAATTTGCATTGAATTGAGTGAGAAGAGAATGGGGGTCCAGAATAAACACAGTTTAGAGAAAGGAATTTATTTCTATTCCCTGCCTCCTTTTGGATAAGAACAAAATAATGTTTTTCACATTAAAAAAACAACAACAACTCAGTGAGTTTATTTTTTTTTAAATAAAACACAAAAACGCCACAGGCCATGTTATCTTCTCCTTTCACACATTTATTTAACAAATTATTTTAATTCTCAGTTTTCCTGTCACAGAGCAGCTATGCCAAGTCACATAGCGTATGTCTACACTACAAGTACACTACACTACACTTCCGAAATAACATAGTCCATGTCTACACTACAAGTAACAGGACTATGCAGCACTTTAAAGACTAACAAGATGGTTAATTAGGTGATGAGCTTTCGTGGCCCAGACCACTTCCTCTTCCACTTCGTGGGTCTGGCCCACGAAAGCTCATCACCTAATAAACCATCTTGTTAGTCTTTAAAGTGCTACATAGTCCTGTTTTTTGTTTCAGCTACACCAGACTAACACGGCTACATTTCTGTCACTGTTCTACACTACAAGTAGTTATTTCAACATCATGTCAGAATAATGTCGAGCTGGAAGATTTCTTACTGTGACTCCTGTAACTTTCATTTTACAAGGAATAAGGGAAGTCAGAGGACAAGTGCTTTTTCTTGGACTTCCTGCTGTGTAGATAGTGCCAAAAGCTGAAATAAGCTATTTTGACTTCAGCTACGCAATTGACCTAGCTCAAGTTGCATAGCTTATTTCGGCTTCAGTCCTGATGGTGGTGGCCTAGTGAGCAGCAATGAATGGGGTTTTTTGCATGATAGTTGCAAAGCAGCTTGGAAAGAAAGGAAAAAAAGAAGAAGAAGAAGGAGAAGAAAAAGAAGCACAAGAAACGCAGACATCAAAGTTCTAGCAGCGAAAGCACCGGCAGTGACGAGGAGCAAAGCAGAGTGAGGTGCGTTTAGGTGTCATGAATGAGAGAGATCAATGTTTGCACAAGATGAAAGTTGCAATCCAAAATGTTACTGCCGAGAGCACCTTTCCTTCCCCCTCCGTTCTCATCCCATTGCCCCAGGCCTTTGAATTGCTCCTCTGCAACACCCCCATTTTCCTGCAATCCCATTCAAGCGCCAGAACCTGGCCTTCGAACCCTGCAGTTCTGCCACTGCCTACAGCACTGCTCTCACTTTCTCTCCTTTTCCAGTCCTCTTGTTTTATTACTCCAGTCAGCCTCTCTTGCTCCCTGCTTCACCACTCTTATGCTGCCCCCGTGCTTAGAGTGATTTGCCTCTGTCAGTTGCTCCCTTTCATAGATGCGGGAACTAAGGTGCAGGGAGGGACCCTTACGCTTCTGGCTTAGTGCCAGGGGTCCCAGGTGCCAGCCACATGCACCAGGGGCTTGGATGCCGGCCCCACATGCTGGGTTCCTGGCTGCTGACCCATGCTCTGGGGTTCTGCTGCTGGCTCCATGAGCCAGAGGTTCTGCTGCTGGTTCCACACTCTGCTGCCCTGTGTGCCGGGGGCTCTGCTGCTGGCCCCATGTCCAGAGTCCCTGCTGCTGGTCTCAGCTGGGGATGGGACTGGACAGGGGTAAAGGGTTTAGCACTTTTTAAAATGTTCCTGCCCCACTGATCTCTCTCCTCCACATTTTTTTTTCCATGTTTCCATGTTCCATAAAATTCCATGTTTATGAAGTCAAGATTTTTATCATCAGTCTCTGCACAACTGAACCCTCCTATCCCTCGTCTGCCGTCTCATT